GACCATGAGATCGTGACCTGGGCCGAAGTCGGACGCTTAACCGACTGAGCCACCCAGGCACCCCTATTTATTTATTTTTGAGAGAGAGAGCGCAAGTGGGGGAGGGTCAGAGAGAGAGGAGACAGACTCCCAAGCAGGCTCCATGCTGTCAGCTTGGAGCCCAGTGTGGGGCTCAAACTCACCAACTTCAAGGTCATGACCCAAGCCAAAAGCAAGAGTTGGATGCTTAACCGACTGAGCCACCCAGGTGCCCCTAGATAGCCATTATTTAGTGGAACTCTACCTACCGTAAATCCTTTTGCAAAGCAAATAATTATTTCATAATATGGATGATCAACCTCAAATTATTTATTTCTAAATCTGAATTATCCTCTATTGGAGTTTCCTAACGCAAATGCATGTGTTTTTGTCTTCATAGTGTTGGCTGCACCAATTCTAGAAGTAAGCTCTCCAAGTCCAGACTCTATTCTTGTGCAGTGGGAATCTGTATATATGGCAATTGGATTCTCTGTGTCCATTATGCGAGCCAATGGTTTGGGTAGAATATGGAAAGAGAATACCACAAACACCTCCTTGACATTCACCAGGTTAGATGCTGGGACTCTCTACACCATAAAGGCCTATGCGTGGAATGCCAATGGAACCCCTGGGGACGACTCCACCTGCAATCAGAGAACAAGTAAGGACTTCCCAGCTCAGCCTCAAGCAATCTCCCTTTTGATTAATGAGAGGCTATGCATCGTAGCCGTTGGAAGCGGGTGTTAACTGATAAGTACAGAGCAGCTGGCAGTAGATATTTAAATTTATTATGAGTTTATTTATAGTGCGGTAGTTTAAACGCTGACTGCCTGTATAAAGAAATGCTGCTCAGAATACACAGAGCATGGCTTCTCCGTCTCTGATATCTAACTTATTTCAAGCATACACATGCTATATCACACAACAGGAGATGATTTTTGCTAGGTTTATGAGTCTCCCCGACCCTTCCTAGCTTCAGACCAACAGCATAAACAGAAAGAACTGGGACAAACAGGAATTCATTTTATTCAGTAGCCATTTAGTGAGTGTGAGCCAACTTTGAGCGAGCATTGCTCTAGAGATCCAGCAGCAAACGAAACAAAGTTCCTGTTGTTAGGGTACTTTATGCTGTGCTGGGAATCAGAATTTCAGATATATTGCCCCAAACCTCAGCTTAGGCCTGCTCAGCTTAGGCCTACTGCATAATATGTGGAAACCCAAACTGATCTGCTGGAGTAAGCCAAAAAGAATGAGAGGGAGAGGGAGGGAAGGAGAGGGATTTTTTTTTTCTCTCGAGACAGAGTAAGCCACCCACTGACAATGTGGCCTAATGCCAGACTCTCACCAACCAGATAAGCTGTTTCATCCCTTGGAGAGAACCAAGGAAAGGGAGGAAAGAAACCAGAGCTGTTCTTTCCAACATACCCTAAGTTTGAAGGGTGGGATGGAAGCCCCATTATCTGTGAGTCAAGACAGAAATTCAGGGAGAAAGGGTGCAACATCATAGCAAGGTGGCCTTAAGGTGATTCTTGATGGACCTTGTGAGTCAGGATGTCTGTGATAAACCAGTCTCCCCCGGCCTTTTTCTATGCATTCATTCATTCTTTCTTTCCACAAACGTTAACTGAGGGCCCACTATGTACTGGGCATCATTTAGCTGATGGGGACACAAAATCAATTAAAGTGTAATCCCTACACTTGGAGAACTGATTGTGTCTTAGGGAGACCAATGCATAAATCAGTGGTTACAGTTCAGTGTAACAAGTGCTTTGAGAGAAGGATTTGCAGGCACAGAGTGGTATGAGAGGAAACCTCTCCATCAGGCTGGGGTCAGGGACAGCCACCTCCAAAGGTGACTGTTTTCTTAAAGCTTTCCTTTTTCATTTGTTTCCCATGTTTAAACATATTTTATTTATTTTTTTTTTAAATTTTTTTTTTTAATTTTTTTTTTTTTCAACGTTTATTTATTTTTGGGACAGAGAGAGACAGAGCATGAACGGGGGAGGGGCAGAGAGAGAGAGGGAGACACAGAATCGGAAACAGGCTCCAGGTTCTGAGCCATCAGCCCAGAGCCCGACGCGGGGCTCGAACTCACGGACCGCGAGATCGTGACCTGGCTGAAGTCGGACGCTTAACTGACTGCGCCACCCAGGCGCCCCTGTTTAAACATATTTTAGAGTATTGGGGCGCCTGGGTGGCTCAGTCGGTTGAGCGTCCAACTTCGGCTCAGGTCATGATCTCCCAGTTCACGGGTTCGAGGCCTGCATCTGGCTCTGTGCTAACAGCTAGCTCAGAGTCTGGACTGAGACAGAGTCAGTCTCGGATTCTGTGTCTCCCTCTCTCTCTGTCCCTCCCGTGCTCGCTTGCTCTCTCTCTCAAAAATAAATAAAACATAAACAAAAATTTTTTTTTAAATTTTTTAGAGTATAGATTTAGCTTCTCTATTAGTTTGCTAGGGCTGTCTTAACAAAGTGCCACAAACCTACTTAAACAACACAAATTTGTTGTCTCCCCGTTTTGGAGGCCAGAAGTCTGACATCAAGGTGTCAGCACAATTGGTTCCTTCTCAGGACTATGAGGGAAGGATTTGTTCCAGGCCTTTCTCCTTGGCTTATAGATGGTGCCCTTCATAATCACATGGCATTCTACCTCGAAGTGTATGCCTATGTCCAGATTTCCTCTTTTTATTTTTTAATTAATTAATTAATGCATCATGAATTTGCATGTCATTCCTTATGCAGGGGCCATGCTAATCCATATCATTCCAATTTTATTATAAAAAAATTTTTTTTTGATGTTTATTCATTTTTGAGAGAGACAGAGACAGAGCATGAGCAGGGGAGGGGCAGAGAGAGAGAGGGAGACACAGAATCCAAAGCAGGCTCCAGGCTCTGAGCTCAGCACAGAGCCTAACGTGGGGCTCCAACCCACCAACTGTGAGATCATGACCTGAGCTGAAGTTGGATGCTTAACCAACTAAGCCACTCAAGCGCCCCGTGTATCAGTCCAGTTTTAGTATATGTGTTGCCAAAGCAAGCACAAAATTTTCTCTCTTTCTAAGGACACCAGTCATATTGGATTAGGGCCCACCCTAATGATCTCATCTGCACTAATTGCATCTACTATGACCCTGTTTTCAAATAAGATGACATTTTGAGGTACTAGGGGTTAGGACTTCAACATATGAATTTTGAGGGGACTCAATTCAACCCCCCAACAACCCCCAATACTGTACTCATTTTTCCTGGTTCTCCCATCCCCCATGTGGAAAGAGCTGGTTGTCCTAAAATACTGCAGGTTACTTTTACTAGCCTTGAACCCAGAATTACTTCAGAGCAGAACTGCCTCTGCAGTCTAACCAGGAAGCAGGGGAAGGGTCCTGTAGGACCTCGAAGGCCTATAGGAGAAACATGGCAGGGATGTGCCCTGTAGAGGATGAGTTGAGTCCCTGTTTCCTCAAACAGGGCCTTGCCTGTATAACCCACGTGTGTCTAGAAGTTGCTGGTTTCTGCTCATATGCTATGCAAGCAGTTTTCTAATGCCTTCCAGGTGGGCCTTATTACAGCACAGATCCCCAACACAAAAGGATACTTCTCAAGCTTTCTCAAAAGGATAACCCTGAAAAGAGGAAGGCATATTTCTAAGAACGTAGAGGGAAGTTTTTGGAGACACTAAAATGACTGCTCTAATATATGACCATCACACTTGATACTTTCCTTTCTTCCCTTTGATTTCGAGTGGAATGAAATTCTGCTCTTCTAGAATCAGTTATGACCTAAAAACACTTACAGAAAAAGTCTTAGCAGGTGTCAGAAGTAAAGAAGGGAACGGTGTCTGGCTGTCTCAACTAGTAGAGCATATGAGTCTTGATTTCAGAGTTGTAAGTTCAAGCCCCATGTTGGTGTAGAGATTACTTAAAAATAAAATCTTTAAAAAAAAAAAGTAGGGGTGCCTGCCTGGCTCAGTTGGTTAAGCATCCAACTCTTGATCTCAGCTCAGGTCTCAATCTCAGGGTCGTGAGTTTAAGCCCTACATTGGGCTCTGTGCTGGGCATAGAGCCTATTTAAAAAAAAAAAAAAAGTAAAGGAAGGATATTGTTGAAGCTACTCCGTTCAGCTTCATCTTTCGATAATAGAATATTTGACCTACCACTTAATAACATATCCGTAGGGCCCTTTTAGCCCTGCACATTTATAATCTCATTTAATTATTCAATTACTTGTTGTGTGTTCACTGATCCATTCAGTGAATGAATGAATACTTATTTAGCACCTAATATGTGTTAGGGACTGATCTTATTAGATCCATTTTACAGACGTTAAAAAAAAAAGTAAATAACATATTAAATAACATGGATAAGGTTGCATAGCTAGTTATGAGTTTGCATAGTCAACGGCAGATGTGTTACCCTAAGTCCCGATTTTATGCTCTAAATGCTTGCAATTATCCTACTATCATGGTACGTCATCCTCCAAGCTCTGCAATGTTGTTAGGCCAGATCTTACTTGGATTTTCGAGGCTACTGCAAAATCTTAATTGTTTCTCAAATATCTAGGTCCTCGTGCCCCTGCCAGCATTCAAGTCTCTCTTGACGGTGGGGCTCTGAAGGCTTCTGTTTCATGGGCCCCAACGGAAGGAGCTTTCAACTATACTGTGATGGCTTTGAGTGACTCTTCGGAGCTGAGCTGTAGTACGACTCGCAGTGCCTGTACTATCTCCTCCCTACAGTGTGGGACTGAGTACCTAATTTCAGTTTTAGCAAGTAATGATGCTGGGTCTAGCAAGTCAACTTCATCAGAGGCCCTAAAAACTGGTATGTAAGCAAGAGTGACTGTGGGGCTGGTAAGCCAGTGTGACTGCCATAAGGGAAACAAATAACCACCTGATAATGTTGATAATGTTCCAGAACATTCTAGAAGCCTGGTCTAAGTGAAAGCATTGAATGGGACATTCTAAGGAGGTTTTTTTTTTTGCTTTTTTTTTTTAATTTTTTTTTCAACGTTTATTTATTTTTGGGACAGAGAGAGACAGAGCATGAACGGGCGAGGGGCAGAGAGAGAGGGAGACACAGAATCGGAAACAGGCTCCAGGCTCTGAGCCATCAGCCCAGAGCCCAACGCGGGGCTCGAACCCACGGACCGCGAGATCGTGACCTGGCTGAAGTCGGACGCTTAACCGACTGCGCCACCCAGGCGCCCCTAAGGAGTTTTAATGTGATAGTAAAACTGGATATCACACATTGGAAAAAGCACATCTTTGAAAATTAGGAGTCCTGGCTCCTATTCTATTCTTTCATTAATTGATTTTCTTTATACTTTGTAAAGCTGTAAAAATTCTAGGATCCAGTTGGAGTTATACATAGGTTTAACTGTGCAGTACACACAGTGGCCTCTTCCTTACATCATGTTTTGCAGACCTATGCTGGGAGGGAGCTATTTGTTAAATAAAGGTGGGCAGTCTATAATTCTGAGTATGTGTTTAAATATCTTCCTATTTTCATCTTATCAGAAAAATGAAGGCTTACATATGTGGAGGTTTACTCCTCTATTTAGAAACATTTCTGTGTTTTGGTGATGGGAACTAACATTTAGTGAAGACCTACTATGTACCAGGCACTATAAATACATCATTTTATTTATCTTTCATGACAACTCAATGATGTAGGCTCTATTATTTCCATTTTCAGATAAAAAAAAAATTTAGGTCTGATGTAATTTTTCCAAAGTCACACCAATAATAAGCGTTAGAGCTAGGATTCAAGCCCAGGTTTGCCTGATTTTAGTCCTCTAAGCCAAAGAAAATGTAGATAATCACAATAATGTCCACTTTACCCAACAGAGAGAACTATGTCATCCTGAGTTTAAAAGGCTTCTGAACAGAGAGGAAAAGAGCCATCACCAAGCTGATGCAGTGTATTTTACAGGGAAAAAATAAGCCAAGCCCTCAGATACACAGTTTCTTTTTTTTTTTTTTTTAACTTTTTTAAAAGTTTATTTATTTATTGAGAGAGGAGAGAGGAGAGAGGAGAGAGGAGACAGAGAGAGAATCCCAAGCAGGTCCTGTGTTGCCGGCACAGAGCTCAACATGGGGCTGGGTCTCACGAACTGTGAGATCATGACCTGAGCTGAAATCAAGAGTGGGATACTTAACCAACTGAGCCACCCAGGAGCCCAGATGCACAATTTCTTATAGTTATGTTAAATTAAGGTCACTGATAGCAAACCTGGTGATTTGGCCTCTCTTTTGACAGTTATAATTTGCTGCAGACAGCCTATTAGAAATGGTTATGAGGTTGGAATAGCTGAGAGTGAAGGAAAAGATAAGAATACACTTTCAAAAGCATAGCAGATCCAAGTTAGTCATTTAATGCAGGAGAGAACCCTCCAGTGTTTCCCAATCTTGGAGGCACATTAAGAGCATCTGGGGAGCTTTTTAAAAATCCACCTAAGATCAACTAAATCAGAGCTTCTGGGAGTGGAGTCTGGTATGACTAGTTTGTAAAAGCTCCTCACTTAATTCTAATGTGCAGCCAGGGTAAAGTGCCACTGAAATAATCCTGCATGTTTACAGTTGGGTGGCATCAGTTTGCGTATAAAACAATCAGTCATGGGACGCCTGGGTGGCTCAGTTGGTTAAGCGTCCAACTTACGGCTCAGGTTATGATCTCATGGTTTGTGAGTTCGAGCCCCACATCGAGTTCTGTGCTGACAGCTCAGAGTCTGGAGCCTGCTTTGGATTCTGTGTCTTCCTCTCTCTCTGCCCCTCCCTCGCTTGTTTGTTCTCTGTCTCTCAAAAATAAACAGACATTAAAAAAAAATTGTAAAACAATCAGTCATGATCATGGGAACAGCCCAACTTACCAATAAAAGAACTATGTTTCGAAAGTGCTATGTGTTTCCTGGGTCCCAGAATTGTGAAATATATTTTAGGAAGATTCCACTAAAGATGGCTAAAATTTTAAAAGCTTAGATCTTGAAAGAATAAACTTCATTTGAAGTCATCCCTTCATTCTATGCTGATCCTTGCATTGTCTTAACACAGAAATGAATGCAATGTTAACCAAGGTGATCCATACCTATTTCTTTTATTTTTTTAATTAAAAAAATTTTTTTAATGTTTATTTATTTTTGAGAAAGACAGAGTGTGAACGGGAGAGGGGCAGAGAGAGGAGAAGATGCAGAATCCAAAACAGGCTCCAGGCTCTGCGCTGTCAGCACAAACTGTGAGATCATGACCTGAGCCGATGTCAGACACTTAACCAACTGAGCCACTCGGGCACCCCATCCATGCCTATTTCTGACATTGTCTAGCATGTATTGTGTGAGATAAGTTTTACAACATGTGAGAATGCCTTGTTGGTTTGCACATACTGTTTGATTTATTCCTTGTCCATGGCATGTGATATTCTGGACAATTGCAAAGGTATAAAGAAAATCTCTTGCAGGACTCTCATAGCTGTTCATTATTTACTGTTTCCTAGTTGCTTGTGCACCTGGAAGAGTGACCATCCAAGAAGATCCTCCGCCACCTGTCTGTGGCTTGGTCCAATGTAGATCTGGGTGATTACTATGTGGCCTTTGTGAAGAGTGATGATGGCTTGGAAGTCCACTGCAACACATCCCTCACCCAGTGCAATTTCTTATCTGAATGTGGCTTCACTTACTTTATTAGTGTTTTTGCCTATAACAAGGCAGGGCAGAGTCCTCTGGGCGATGTGTTCAATTATACCACAGGTAAGTTGCACTTGATGCTTGTGAAGGGAGTTCTGAGTTCCCTGAACTCAGCAGCAGCATAAATCACCTTTGCGATAACTGACTGACATAGGTTACCTGGGAGTCATTCCAGGGTCAAGAACAGAAAGAGAATCTCTCCTCTCACATTCTTTCCAGAGCAGGAAATTTTGGGTTCATGGACCCAACCTTAACAAGATGCAAGGCGTAGAAGTGAAAAGAGAGCAAAGAATATAGTCGTACATACCTGCTCTGAAAAATTAAACCCTCCACCATGATCTACTGAGTGTTCAGCACCCTGTGCAAGGTGCTGAAGGGGACACAGTCCTCCTGTCTCAGGAGTTCACCCTTTCCCCGAGACCTGAAAACAGAGATGCCATGGCAAAGGCACTGCCTGGTGTGGAAGGCTCTGCAGCAGGACACCTGTCCTAACTTGTCCTAATTGTCCTAACTTGACCTCTAACTCATTTGAAAAATGGGGATAAAGACATTACCTTGCTAGTTCCTTAGTATCCTTAGTATGCAAAATGGGACAAATAATAATGAGAGCATGAATATGAAATAGGTCTTTGCATGTGGTAAAGCACAGTGCAAAGCATTTTTTATTAGCATCATTATTACCATTATTCTCTTCTACTAGGCTTGGATCTTCTAGGGAGCAGGGACTGTTTTATTTACCTCTTCATCCTCAATGTTTCTTATACTGTGATTGGCATATGGGAAATGCTTGATGTTTGAAGAATGAATGGAGTGAGTGATTTAAACTTAACCATATTTACAAATAAAAACATAATATCATTGTGTATAACTAGCTGGATTACAATAAATTTTATCAAGTTGAAGGAATCAAATAATTGATGCCTTTGGAAAATGGAATAAGAGGCTATCAATCAAGTCTCAAGAGCACAGGAGGGCCTTCCAGAAGGAGTGACCTTGAACTGGATATTTAAGGATGAATGGAATGTAGGTGGGGCAAGGGCATCCCAGAAAACTCCAAGCCATGCTAGACATTTGTCAGAATTTGTCCATGACATAGTATAGGGTCTGTTCTAAGATGTACTAATACAATGATCCTTCCCCCTCCTGCAGCCCTCAGTCTTATCTGGTTAGTGTCTGGAAAGACTGATAGGATTGGGAACTTAGACTAGGTATAGTTTTTATCAGGCAGAAGAGAGGAACAGCATTTCAGTAGAGGGTTAGCAGTCTTCAAGGCATAAGGAAATGAGAGCACGTGTAGGGTGGGGAATTGAGGGAATTGGTGAGGGGAGGCACAGCTGAACATGTAGGTTGGATGCAGCTTGTGATGACCTTGGACATCATGCATAGAGGATTTATCCTTTATGTAGTGGGTGTTAGGCCAAGATCACAGCTGGAAAGACCTGTAGGAGGTTCTTGGAGCAACTTAGGAGGGCTGTGGCAGAAGCTCTGGGCCCTGGGAGATCAGGACTCAATGCCCTCCTCTGACATCCTTGTTCCTTTACTGACCTCCATTTTCTCTCTCTGCTCCTGCTTTCAGCCCCCTGTTGTCCTAGCGATATTAACCCTGTGTTGGTGTCCAGTGACAGAGTAGAGATTGTCTGGTCTCCTGTCCGTGGTGCCGAACTTTATGAAACCAAGGCTGTAGATGGGTTCAAAGTGGTTGAGTGCAATGACACCGCGCCTGCTTGCACCCTCTCCGCTCTAGAGTGTGACACCAAGTACAACGTCACAGTGTATTCCTTCAGCGAAGTCCGGGGCAGCAATATGTCATGTACTTCCCGATTTGTAACCACAGGTACGATACAGCTATGATTTCCTTCACTGCTGTCTGAACTATTCACCCTGGCTATGGGCATGCCCTTCATGATGGGCATTCAGCAAGAACTGTAAAACCACTCTTTGTGGGGACCATCAGAGCCCCTCTCTTCCTACAGAAGGGCAGAAGAGTAGGTAGAACAAGGGAAGTGGGGGAAAAAAAAACAAAAAAGGAGATCATGGGGAGAGTGGAAAGCTTCCTCAGTAATTACTTCAGCCATTCAGTTCCTCTGACTTTTGGGGGGCGGGGGGGACAGGGAACTCTCCGTATTCACACCACGAGGGTTAAGACTGCAAATGTTCATCTTAATTACTTTTGCTTTTGGAGTTCAAAATGCCCCTTAATATTTTCCGGTGAGTCTGATGCTAAAAGAACCTAATACCATGTTTCCACACAAAGGCTCTGTGAATCTGGCCTACATGCTCATTATGTTTGAAAGCAGGGATGATCTCATGTTAGGGCGGTGGGGGAGGCGGGGGTGGGAATCACATTTAGACCAGATGGCACACCTGATATTTTTGACTCACACTGTTTCAATTAATAATCCAAAATCGCTTAGCTCCTTGCAGTCCCGAAATAAAAAACGTTTCAAAGGATGCATTCTCCATGATTCGTGTGCACTGGCGATCCACTAATGACGATGCCACTTACACGGTGACTGCCCAGGGGGAGAAAGGGCTGTATCGGTGCAGCAGCACGGGAGAGTCCTGCGTGGTGGGGAGCTTGCCCTGCGGCTCCGTGTTCTCCGTCACTGCGGTGGCTGAAACACAGGCAGGGCGGAGCCTGCCCAGCTTCAGTGTGCCCCTGGAAACAGGTAGGTGGCAGCCTCCATCCTGAACGTTGACTTCAGTGCGGTCCTTAGAAATCGTTATGACATGAACTTTCTTATTTCGTTGACCCTAACTGTGATAGGAATACATTATACTCTCTGGCCTTTCAAACAGCCCAGTCTTAGAAAATAAAACTTGCCATGTTTGGACACAGTTTCTGTAAAAATAGCATCAAAAGACTCTAATATATTCCTATGCTGACATCAAAGGAGGAATACATTGACGCTGCAAAACATTGATTTGAATTCACATTCCTCCATGACATAATCTCCCGAAACAACGAACAAGTAACCAAATGAGCTGGCTTATGTTTTCTTTCTTTGGCTCAGCCGTTTAAAACCTTTCTGTGTAAAATGCTTTCTGAATTTCAGTTTTCTGGTAAAAGGGGAGAATGGATTGCTCGGGTGGTTGCGAATGTTAAGTTAGTTAATGCTGCAAGCACTTACTTAGCATGGTGCCTGATGCATACACAGTAAGAGCTTGATAAAAGAAAGCTGTTACAGCTTCAAAGCACCGTGTGTGAGTGAAATTTAGCAAATTACTTAAAGCTTTTGGACATTTTCTCTTATATACAATGGATGGCACTTTGGACTATAAAAGTTGAAATGTAAAAAGCAGCAGAATAGAGACCATGCCCAATACTCAGGAAGATTCTAGATATCCTATATCCTGTTTAACAATCTCTGAAAATTTGAGAATTGGCTGTGATATTCTTAGGTGGCTAAAAATATTGCAAGCTTTTATATCAATTAAGTACTATGAAATGCATGAAAAAGGCAACATACTTTTAATTGCAAAGGCTGTGAAATGTTACATTGTGAGAAGAAGTGAATACAGCCATTGCTTTGAAGTTTGCAACTGGAATTGTTAAAGTTGGGAAACAACAAAGGACTTCTTTCTTATTCTGAAAACATTGGGAGGAAACTCACATTATCCACAGCCAGTTAGTGCTCCGCCTTCTTGGGGAAAGCAACCCCAACGTAGAGTTGATGTTAAATGATGTATCAGAGGAAATGAGATTGCGCTTAACAAAAGGAGATTTTGCTTAATAATTAAAGATTTGAGAAATGCAGGATACTGAATGGTATACAGACAAAATACCATTCTCTGTCATTTTCCCACAAATAACCCTCAGTGGAAATAAATCCCCAATTCTTTCTCTTCTTCCCCACCTAAGTGCCGTGCTGTCCAGCTGGTCTGACAGTAACTCAGGTCACCCAATCAGTAATCAACGTGAGCTGGACTGTTGGGACCGGGGCCCAAACCTATGTGACAGTTCTGGAGTCACACACCGGACAGTCTAAGTGTCTCACCCATCAAAACCAGTGCCTCCTGGGATGTATCACATGTGGCGTCAATTACACAGTGGCATTAAAAGCGATTAGTGCCACTGGGTTGACTGCAGACTGCACCTACCAAAGTTATTTCTCTAGTAAGTGAATTCTAAATTCCAGCTATGGAGTATCAATATGGACTTCGACTATTTTTTTTTAAGTTTATTTCTTTCTTTATTTACTTACTTATTCATAATTTTTTAAAGTTTATTTATTTATTTTGAGAGAAAGCATGAACTTGAGCTGGGGAGGGGTAGACAGAGGGAGAGAGAAAGAATCCCAAGCCGGCTCCTCACTGTCAGTGCAGAGACTGATGTGAGGCTCAAATCCACGAACTGTGAGATCATGACCTGAGCCGAAATCAAGAATTAAATGTTCAACCAACTGAGTCACCCAGGCACCCCTAAGTTTTTTTATTTTTTTGAGAGAGACGGAGAGAGCATAAGCAAAGGAGGGGCAGAGAGAGAGAGGGAGGATCCCAAGCAGGCTCCAAGATGCCAGCACAGAGCCGACATGGGGCTCAAGCTCACAGAACTGTGAGATCATGACCTGAGTTGAAATCAAGAGTTGGAGGCTGGGCCCAACTGACTGAGCCACCTGGGTACCCCAGGACTTTGACTATTAGCAATCCAGACGTAAGCCCATCCTTCTCATTTAAAAAGATCCTGCATCTCCATTCTGCTAGCATTATAAATTCAGATTATTTTCTAAAATGTTTACAAGTTTCCTCTTGACTTAGAACCTCAAAGCGTCAGAGGCTTCTGTTGGTGGTTGATGAATTGATTCCCTTGGTAACATGGTTCAGGTATACTTTTTCTGAAGGCAGGACGGATTTATACGGCACAGCTACCCACTGCACAGAGTAATTCAGTCTGGCAGTTTCCAGAAAGCATTTAGGTCACACATTCTATTTGTCTTGAATTCTTTTCTTCTCATTATTATTATGCTATCACCTCTCTCTTCTAAACCACTCCATCTCCTTCAATGGTTTCTTATTTCAACAGGCTGAAAGAGCACTGTCTACTGACAGTATTGTATCTTGTTCTTCACAAAGAGCAAATCATTAGGGAATAGCAGGGGAAGGTAGTGGGTATGGGGTTAGCAAATAAGATTGATTCTCTTGTGTGAATCTAGTCCACTGAAGTGACTGTTTGGGGCATGCTTTTGAAAAAAGAAAAGAAAACTCCTGAAAATGCTTTTTTAATGAGAAAGTACAATCATTAGTTCACCGTGTCTGCCCCAGGGCACGGGATGGGAGAGCTAAAATATAATTTTGCCTCCCCACGGGCAGTAGAAAAGGTCTTCAACTAGGAGTCTAAAGATACAGCTTCTGGGGCGCCAGGGAGGCTCAGTCTGTTAAGTGTCCGACTCTTGGTTTTAGCTCAGGTCAGGATCTCAGGTTATGAGATGGAGCCCCACGTGGGGCTCCACGCAAGCCTGCTTGACATTGTCTTTCTCCCTCTCTCTGCCTCTCCCCACCCTGACGCCACCTCTCACTCACACACTCTCTCTCTCCCTCAAAAAAAAAAAAAAAAAAAAAAAAAAAAAAAAAAGAAGGTTCTTATAAGCTTCGTTGCCTTATCTTCCCTAATGTTTCCTCATTGGTAAGAGAAATTGTAATAATTATAATGTGAAAGCATTTATAACATGCTACACATACGTAAGCTGTTTCATACTTTCTTTGGGAGCATTATCTTTCATTAGATTTACTGCCTGCGTTCTTACCCTGATATCCAGTTCTGGGAATATGGCCCACTGCTTATCTTCACATGTAAAAAAACCTTTCTTTAAAAGAAAGAACAAGGGGCGCCTGGGTGGCGCAGTCGGTTAAGCGTCCGACTTCAGCCAGGTCATGATCTCGC